TTGTGCATGTGGGATCAGCATGTTCGGACTGGAAAATTGACGGTCCTCAGGTGAGAAATTTGCAGTCCTTTCGAATCCTGCTCGGCAACGCTCACCAAGACTCTGCACGGTGGTGAAATGTTGTGCAAGCTCTCTGCTGCACGATTGCACCGCAGGAGATGCTTCGGAAGCTCAGCGAAACTACATTTTCAACCGCTCTACCTACGCCGACCGTCCCCAGAATTTTCTGTCCACAGCTCATCCCAGACACGACTCCTTCAAACCACCACCTCTGCCAGACGCGCCTCCTCCGCTTTTGGCAATGCTTAGGTAATCCAGTGCAGGACCATCAATTTGCTCGTGATCAGCTCTACTTAGTAAGTCCAAGAACTGAAGGCACCAAATTCCCACACCCCGCAAAAATGCCTCAGTAATACAATTGTAACTAAGTAGTACTTTTCCGGCTCCCACCACCATGATCTCCTTCTTCGATCCTTTGTATTTCAAAACTACTCCTGAGTCAGTTTACTGAGTCTACGTACAGGTCCTGTCAACAGCAAGATAGACAATCTCCACCACTCTGGAGCAAATGATTCAACTTTGTTTTTTCTTGCCAACAACCACTTCGTCCACAATGCCTCCTGAAGCGCCATCAATTGAGTCAATCCCACAAATGCACTTGACGTCCTCATATCACAACCACGCCTTTATATCACCATACATCGGGTTGGATGCTGGTCGCGATTCTGGCTCTGGTAAGAACAATACTATTATTCTGTACCTAGACAAAGGCTAGTGCACAAGTCAATACAAGACGGCATAATACAACAGGCACAGTACACACCTCAGTAGAGTTGTAAGAACAATACTGAGGTGGTCAAGAGGCAAAGTGCGGTACAAATCTCAGCAGAGTCAATTAGGTAACGAGTCCGGAGGATTAACGTGCAGAGAAGAGAAGACGAGAGTCATATGGTACGAAGGTGTACGAGATAACAAGATAGACCAAAATAAGTAAGTAACTCAACAAATCAATGCTTTACCACTCAAAGGCCCGATGTGCCATAAATGTTATGACCTGAGTTCACCAAATGGTAAAGTCAGACAACAACCACTAGGACTTGGTCACAGATGATGATAGGAACAAGATAGATTGAGCGTGAACGTCTACGTCTACTACAACTGTAGAGAATGAAGAGGTTAAGTCTAAGGAGTACTTACACTAACTAACCTACTTATATACATAACATTGAATAGGAGATATCTGAGTATGAAAGAAATCAGCCAATGAGAAAAGAGTCGTACGATACTGCGGATGACTGATCATGACATATAAGCGAATGAGTAAGACAGTTACTAAATAGAAACCCAAGATCCAACCGGTTCTTCTTTCGGAAGCAAGATCGTTCTAGCCCGTGGAGTAGGGGAGCCAATCGAAGAAGCAACAGGTGATATGTGAAGAGGTGAAGGTGTGACAGGAAGTGAAGTCACATGACTGGTTCAGTTACTAGAAATAGCTGAAGGGAAACCAAGGAATGAAAAATGATTCGTATTTGGAATTCGTGACAATAGACTAGTAGACCTCTGTTGAAGAAATAGTGGAGTTGTGAGTGATATCTTCTTATGCTGACCATTGCATCACCACTCACTATTTCTGCCTTGACAATGTCTGTCTCTATTCACTCACACGCACTCCACACACGCATCTCACTTCCACCCGCAGCCTTAGTCAGTGTATTCCTATATTTCCTTCCAGGTACTGCTTCTTGGGTTGACGCACATGTCAAAGAGCTTGAAGATCACTATGTTCCTCACCTTGGAGAGATCAGAAGAACTTCCATTGCATGCAGTGGGATGACCAGCTGGGAGCGTGCAAAAGGAGGCACTGCTGCGGGGCGAGAGTCGGTTGATAAAGGTGTGAAGAGCGCTATGGAGAGCATCGAACAAGGAGTGGGAGTGAAGTGGATTAGGCACAAGAAGTGAGACAGGAGGCACAATGTCGCCAATGTGGCTCAAAAGCTTAGATATAAAGGAGAGAGCCAAAGCTTGGGCGGCAACTCGGAAGACTCCAGGAGACCTGGTATAGAGTGCACGGTTGTTTGTATAGAATCTTATTTGTATATCCCTCACAGCTCCAATCACATTACAGTACTTAGAGATTAACGTTCCAGGACACTGAAATATTATAGCGCTTGCATGATTCATACACTGTTTTGACTGACTGGAGACGAAGGACGGAACCAAGTACAGGTAAGTCTAGTGAATATCTACCGTTGTATCATGGCAGCGGCTCCTGCAAAATATTAGTCACCCCGGGATCACAAACTGTCCCCATACTGACTGAACAGAAGAAATCTGACTGTCTTGTGTGCAACACATTGGTCCAAGGTGGTGACCTAGCTGTGTGTTGGGTGAAGAACTGCACAATGCACCTGATTCCATCACCTGTGAGTACTGTGTCCGAGAAAAAGGTAAAACTTGGCCACATAGTTGTTGAATCCAAGACACGGGTAAATGTAATCCACAATGAGATGTGAGCGTTGTCAACATTCACATAGATGTTTCCAGCAGGCAATAGTGTCATATTTAAGCATCAAGGTATGTGATAAGACACACGCCTTGATGCACAATGTGTGTAGTTCCTTGACATCTGTAGCTTGATGCTTCATGAAGCATCAAGCCTTGTGTCTCTGCACTGAAGCTTCACGCTTTCCCATGACACTTTGTTTAACCTTTTTTGGGCAGGTATGCCCCTTCCCCGCTTCTTTGCATCTCTGCACTGAAGCTTCAGTACACTCCTTTACACCCCTTCCCAGCTTCTCACTTCCATTCCCCCCCTTCTCGACCCATCTAGCCCATCAATTTGATGGTGAGGATCAAGATTGCTTGCAAGTGTACTTATCATGTGATTTTTCTCACTAAGTCCATGATGCTGAATGAGGTTTCGAGCAAGATTCGCCAGTGCACCTAAAAATTTCACTAAGTTCCATCTATTAGTATGTACAAGTGTGTATACAGTACTCTGTGATTATGATTTACAATGAAATTACAAGTGCTGTGCACACGAAATTTTCACTAAATCCAACACCATGAATATACTTGTATTGTGAAATGAGTGAAAGCTAATGTAATATCCAAGTCTCTACAGTATTAGTCACATGCACAATGTGATATACTTTCCAATGATTTATCGCTACTTTCCAATGGCAATTATCGCTTACTCTCAACAGCTCAAGCCACAGCTTACTACTGCACAACAACAATGTGGAGGAGAGAGAATATGGGCAGATGGCTTGCTAACAACGTCACGAAAAGGTGTGTGTTTTTGTATTTACACTACTGACAAGTTCTTTTATGTCCTTCCATACCTTCCCTAACCTCTCCTTTGTGCACTCATTCCCGCACATCGGCGCATGTCATCTGTGTTTGCTGGCATTTGTATTTGTCTGTGATTGTCCCTGCTTGTCTGTGCTTGTCTGCACTTGCCTCTGCTGTCCTGTGCATGTTGGCGCCTGGTGACCGTGCTTTTGCTCATCCTGGACTCATCTGTATTTGTTTGCACACCCTGGTTGCGTCTTTTTTCTATCTATTGGTGCTTGTGCACATTTACTTTTTGGCGCTTCCTTTATTTTTGCATGTATGCGCACATTTTCGCTTGTCTGTATCTGGCATCTTGTGCAATAGGTACAATTTTTCGATTTGTCAAAGGTTTAGAGTCTTTTATGCTTCAAGGTCTGTGTTTAATCTGATACTTTTAAGCTTCAATACTACAGGTACAGGTGTTTCCAGAGCTTTTGAATTAGCCTTGCGATTGATATGATTGATGTTCATTGTCTGCTGTTTGAATTGATAAGATGTAACAAGGACATTCCGAGTAATCCAGAACTCGAAGAAAGACACCTGGAAGGGGCTGGATCATCTCATCTATGAACACCCATCCATCTGAACTGGTTGTCCTCTTGACCACTAGTTGTGAAGGGTGCAGTGATGCTATCAGTAGCAGTGGTGATAGGGAAGCAATATTCTAGCTTTGGTGCATCGTTGTCATTTGCTGTCGTTGTTGTTGTCTCGTCTAGTAGTTCTCCGCGACTTTCTTACACTCTATCGATGTACTATATTTTTCTTTTTGTATCACTTTCAAAAAATTTGTTGCTCTATGTAGACACTGCAGCACGCTCCATGGGACATTGCTACCTGCCTTCCAATTTGCATGATAGTATGTACTACACAAAGTTTGTCCTAGGAATTCAAACATCTTCAACTTAAAGGAGCGCAATGCCACTTCGGGACGTTTTAACTTTTGATACACAGCGCTCTTACTGTTGTTGGTCATGCATATTGGATTCGCTTCACCTGCCTGGATAGGTGCGACCTTCTGCCCCTGCTGCCTTTGCTGCAGCACCTCTTTTCAGTCCCGTATCTTTAGCCTGGGAAGGACGTGGTGCCATCTTGGTGGCAGTGGTTGCAGCAGCAGCCTTGCCAACAGGACGAGCGTGGGGTTCATCAGGAAAAACGGGAACTCCAATATAGTGCTATGGAGGCTATGTAGCACTTATAGCCTGGTTGCATCTCCCCCCCCCCCCCCCCCCCAATATTGTACCATGTAGCCTGGACTATATTTTTAGTTGCACAATATAGTGTCTGGTATGTCGTACCTTGGCAATGTAGCATGGCTATGTAGTGATCTATAGTAAATCATTGTGGTAAGTACATCTCATGGTACATCATACTACGAGCACTTGTGCACTTGCAAATAGCAGGGAGATCAATGGCATGCATTCACAGTTTAATACAGTGGTCAATTCTACTCGGCCTCGTCAACACCCTTGGACTCCAAGTCAGACTCCACCTTGTCACTGGCATCTGCACTGCCAACCTGTTGATATTCACAAATCGCGTTGTTGATCTCGTCATCGGACAAACAGTCTTTGTCTCCAACATTGATCGGATCCACCTTCACATGCAACCTGTTCATATGATTATTGTCAAACTTCGAAGTTCAAATCCTTGAGAATCAGATGTACTTACCTGCCAGTATTGTTGAGTTCTGTCAGGATACTATTCAGTATCCCATGATCCTTCGTTCGAGCATGAAATTTTTTGAGGTTTGCGAGATGCCGATCATAAGCTTCCCTGTATTCACCACTCGAAAAGCTGATATCCACGCATTCGCCGTCACACCATTCATCAATGCAGCATTCAGCCTGCAGCCAAAAATATCACTGCCTGAAGCCAATGAGCAATAGAACGACTCACTGTGGTGTACACCAAGGCCAATGCGGGTATCGGAAATGGCGAAAAAACTTTCTCGAACACAACTCCATCATCCTTCTTGTTGTGGTACCAAATTAAATTCACTGCTTGCTGATTCAACCTTGAACGAAATAGACCACTGCGAGGCACATTGTTCTTTTTGTCCCCGAGGTCCTTCCAACCAAATGTCAGTACCAAACATGACTCAAGATATGAGAATGCACCCGGTAACACATGCCAAATTTATCCTTGAGCTGGCGGGCGAGTTTTCAATTCCTAGACTTGATGGACTCGCGATTGGTGGACTCGAAACCGTAAATATTCTCGACAAGTGGGTGAACCTTCCCTTTCACCTCACTTGTGAGATGCGAGGTGCGCCGGGTAATCTTGATCCAAATTAGATAGATGAAATCATAGAAATCGAACACATACCAATTGTATAATCTCTCCATTAAAACCTATCTCTACTTCATAATAGTTGCAGGCCTCCTTGCAGGCCTCCTTTGCCCACAATACCTGAGTCATTTGATCTGGATAGGCATACTCAGATGTGAGCCAGACACAAAAATGGCTGATCGCATACTTGATAAGTTGCTGGACCGCTACCTCGTAATCCCGGGCCACTACACGGCCCTTACTCTGATGAATCTTGCATGGAAGTCTCTGTTCACCTTGCTGTGGTGAAGGCGAATGTGAGGACTCCCACATCCGTTTACGACTGTGTTCACCCTCATCATCTGAGGGTGGTAGTCGCATACACTTCAAGTGGCGCTGATCTGCATGATCATCCAGCTCCCATTTGAATGGATGATAGAGTACCACTCACCCTCATAGTTGTCACCTGTATCTCCACCAGCAAACACATCACCGTTGTGGTCTTTGTCGTTGTTGTGGTCTTTGTCATTCTCATTGTCTTCGTAGTTGTCGCTGTCATATTGCACGCCGTCATTCAAGTCATCATTGGACTGCGCACGTCGGAGTTGGATGAGCTTGTTAGTGCATGCCATCGTCAACTTCCTTGGTGCAGGCAGGGGTTCACAATTGAGAAACCCAGTCTCCTTGGAACCAAAGCATCAACGTCGAAGTTGAAGCGAAGTTAATCATGCGGCTGACTTACCTTTGTAAGAGGGTCATCAAACCAGCCCCCAGAGCCCCCAGACACAGATGTTCTCGATGGAGCTGGTGTATGAACCTTTGAGTTTGATCAGTTATCAAATACTAACAGTCAAAGGTATTCCAAGCTTACCTGTGTGATGGGCTTTGGCTGTGGGGTGTGCTTCTCTTGTGGGGGGACTGTGCTGAACTGGGGTTGCAGATCAAGTGGACCATTGGCTGAACCTTTGGACAGGGTGATAGCCTGTGATGAGAACTGTGTGCCGTCTTGTGTACCTGGACATGATTAAGTAGCAGGCAACTGATGCAACAGTCAACACACACCTCTGTCGCCATGATTTTTACAGGTGGCCTTGATTTTTTCTTGACCACTTGGGCGGCATCGTGCCTCATGGCACTCTTGGTCCTCCTCAACTATGTATGATATAGTTAGTAATAATAGTGGTAGTGCATAAAAAAACATACCTTGGTACAAGGCCTTCTCTGAAGGACGGCGTTCATGTCATTGACACTGAGAGGGCCCAGAATCAGTATGGTTGATAAGATTACTCAGTGCTTGGTGAGTAGGAGCAGTAGAAGACATTCTGGGTGTGAATAGGGAGTTAGAATATTAGGAGGAGAATATGGGGACAGAGCACACCTTTGTTAAAACATCACATCCTTTATAATGTCACGTCCCATCTGTGAAGTTACATGATCAACAGTCAATGCGCTGCAATCAACAATTGACGTGCTGCATCAACAACACGAACACGTGAGGTCAGGTGCACGGGCAACCTGCGATCTTGAGAGATGGTGCTGATCTTGAGGAAAAAACTTTTGATGTCCGATGTCGGACAGATGGCACAAGTCAGCCCGGTGAAACTCGGTGAAACTGTCACTTACAGGTTGGCTTTTTCAGCTTGTCAACCTCCTGCTCGTTCATCATGCAGCACTGCTGCAATTTTTGCCTGAAAGGCAATTTCCAAACTACAGGAGCCGTTGGCATTCACATCAGCAGAACTAGAGCCTGTAAGGAACACATGGACTGGCTGTGCAACCACGAGCAAGCCTCACAAGAGACCACACAAGCCACACCCAACAATGACCATGAGGTGGACATTGATGGGGACGTACCTTGGGAGTTTGATGGCCAGGGGGATGGCATACAGGAAGGGCTAAGATCCGCGATGCCAGATCAACATTGCGGTGTCCAAGTTGAGGAAGTAGACGACGAGGAAAGGATGTGGATGCGATTCATGCAGTCATACCCAGGGCAAGTAGCACAAATGCTGGGTCCATGCTGAAGCAATGTTCCATGACATCAGAGCCCAACAAGAGGCTTGAGGTCTGGATCCATGGGCACCATTCGCAGATGCAGAGCAATGGGGACTTGTCAAATGGTTGATATCGCGGGTGGGCCAAAACACAATAGATGAGTTCATGAAACTGCCAATTGTAAGTCAGTGTGTTTCAGCCGCAATTCACAATGTACTCACCAATGCGCAGATGAGCTGCCTTAAAATGTCTTTCACAAGCAAGTACAGTCTGATGAAGGCAATAGATCAGCTTCCCCGTGGCACAGAATGGCAGTTGAAGAGAATAAGTGTAGAGGGCAACAAACTCACCAATGAACGGCAGTACAAGACTGAGGATCTTGAGTTGTAGATGTGGGACCTGGTAGAGTGCATCTGCGAACTCATGGGAAATCCAGAGTTCGATCACATGGTGTCCTATGCACCAGAGAGGGTGTTTTCAGATGCGGAGGGCAAGACCAGGTGGTTTGATGAGATGTGGACAGGTGACTGGTGGTGGGAGATGCAGGTAAGCGCCAGTGTCTGCTGATCTGGCAAAAAACGCACTAAAGCCTTTCCCACAGGGAAGATTGCCCCAAGGGGCCGTTGTCGCTTCAGTTATCCTAGCATCCGATAAGACTTCGCTGTCGCAGTTCCAGGGAGACCAGGAGGTTTTGCCTGTGTACCTGAGCCTCGGAAACATCTCAAAAAATGTCCAATGTCAGCCATCCAAACACGCCACAGTCCTCATCGCATACTTACCAATTTCGAAGCTAGAATGCTTCATGCATGACACGAGGTCTGTTGAATGTTATTGGCTCTTCCACTATTGCATGTCGCTGGTCCTGGAGCCATTGGTTAGCATAGGTGCGGAAGGAGTCGATGTCACCTGCCCAGATCATCAAGTACGACGCCTGTATCCCATTGTGGCAGCGTACATCGCTGATTTTCCAGAGCAGTGCCTGGTGGCATGCTGCATGGAAAACTGGTGCCTGAAGTGTGTAGTGGGCCGAGAGGAGCGAGGGGACATGAAGAAATTGCCAATGCGAGATCAAAACTCCATGGTTGAAAATCTGCACTTGCACTGCAATGGTGAAATAGGAAAAGATCAGCTTGAAGGAGAGATGGGACTACAAGCGATCTACTCACCATTCTGGGTGATGCTCCCTCACAACGACATCTTCTCATGCATCACCCTCGACATTCTACATCAGCTGCACAAAGGAGTTTTTAAGGATCACATTGTCAGCTGGTACGCTGATATCATAGGCAAGGAAGAACTTGACGCACGGTTCAAGGAGATGACGTCATATTCAGGACTCCAACACTTCAAAAAAGGCATATCCAAGTGCAAACAATGGACAGGGGCAGATTATTGCGAGTTGCAGCGTGTCTTTCTTGGTGTAATTGCTGGCGCAGTTGACAACAAAGTTCTGACGGCAGTGCGTGGCATCTTAGATTTCATTTACTATGCACAGTATCGGGTATGTGAACACTTCAATATTCCAAAGATTCACTCAATGATCCATTACATCAATGCCATTCGCTTTCTTGGCACCTCGGACGGTTTCAACACTGAACTGCCTGAACGGCTGCACATTGATTTTGCCAAACGGGCCTACTGTGCATCGAATCACCACGACTATGTCATGCAAATGACCACCTGGCTACAATGCCAAGAGTCCATCCACATTCAAGATGCCTACATTCGCTGGTGGGTATCCCATCACCCCATCAATCAAGAGTGGCAAGACTCGGATGCCAGTCACTCTGATTCGGATTTGGATGGCGCAGGACCTGGACTATTTGAGAACCGTGTTGACTTACCCTCTCAGGTCCAATGGTTCACAATGGTGACAGGTTCCCATGGCTACTTCATCCCTAGGACATGTCCGTTTCCGAATTCAACAATCCAGCGCTTACTTACCGACCACGATGCATCCCTTGCTCTTGAAGAATTCCTTCAGATACATGTTCCAAGCTGGTCATGCCAAAAGCTCACACCGCAAGATCGGGTGGATGTTTACAAGTACCTCAAGATTCTCTCTCCAGCACGACCCCATATCAACAACCGAAAGTGTTTGTTCAAAGTTCATGCATCACCAGTGATTCCTGCATCAGACGTGAGGAGGCCACCAGCACCTGCACACTTCAACAGTGTGTTGGTGATCGAAGATGGGAATGAGTACACCAGTGAAGGTATATCCGGTGAGCATCGTAAATTGGTTGTGGGCTCATTCTGACCTACCTTAGGTCTGCGAGTGGGTGAAGTACAAGTTGTTTTCAAGCTTCCATTACATCTCAGGAATTTTCCACACCTGCTGGCTTATATTCACTGGTTTTGACCCCTTCAAACCTTTGATGAAAATTTGCACAGCTTCCACCTCAGCAAGTCTTCATGTCAGTGTGGTCCTAACGCACTGGTGGTACTGGTCCATCAAGTTCTTCGCCCGTGCCATCTTATTCCTCGTGTTGGTCAAGAGTCAGATGTGTGAGAAGACTTTTATCTCAACAGGTACATTGATCTGGAATTGTTTGACCGTTTGTTTGTATCTTAGAAGCTATGATACCATTAATATTAACTATAGGATGCCATATTGACTATGAGTTACTGGGAAGACCGCATAGCTACTATTGGCATCACGGCGCGCTACAGTGAGGTATTTAGTGCAATGGATGGTCTATAGGTGCACTATTGTACTACCAAGGCTATGTAGTGATATATAC